CCATCCATCCATCCATCCATCCATCCATCCATCCATCCATCCATCCATCCATCCATCCATCCAACCAATTAATATATCTGTTTATACATACATCCATCCCTCCATCCATCCATCCATGCCTCTGTTCATTCACCCAATAAATGTATCCATCCATCTATCCATCCACCCATCCATCCAACCAATTAATATATCTGTTTATACATCCATCCACCCCTCTATCAATCCATCCATCCATTCATCCCTCTGTTCATCCACCCAATAAATGTATCCATCCGTCCATCCATCCATCCATCCATCCATCCATCCATCCATCCATCCATCCATCCATCTATTCATCCAATGTATATATCTATCTATACAGCCATCCATCCCATCATCCACACAAATTAATGTATCCATCATCTATCCATCCATCCATTCATCCATCTGTCTAGTCATTCAATTTCTATATCCATCCATCCATCCCTCCATCTATCCATAAAATTAATATATCTATTTATACATTCATCCATTCATCCATTTCTTATGTCATTTCATTTATCCAATTTATATATCTATCTATACAGCCATCCATCCATCTGTTCATCCATTCAATTAATGGATCAATCCATCCATCCATCTATCCATCCATCCATCTGTTTATCTAACCAATTAATGTATCCATCCATCTATTCATCCAATTTATATATCTATCTATACAGCCATCCATCCATCTGTTCATCCATTCAATTAATGGATCAATCCATCCATCCATCTATCCATCCATCCATCTGTTTATCTAACCAATTAATGTATCCATCCATCTATTCATCCAATTTATATATCTATCTATACAGCCATCCATCCATCTGTTCATCCATCCAATTAATGGATCCATCCATCCATCCATCCATCTGTTTATCCATCCATCTATACATCCAATTTATATATCTATCTATACATCTATCCATCCATCTGTTCTTCCACCCAATTAATGTATCCATCCATCCAATATGTGAAAATCAGCTATCCACATAATATTTATCCATCCATTTATCTACAATTCATGTACTGTATCTACCCACCCTATCAGGTTGCCATCCATTCATTCATCTACTGTATTATCCCATCTATTGTTCATGTAATATATCTATTCATCCATCCATCAGTCCATATATGTGCACTATTTTCATGAAAGTGTTGCTTCATTATTGGTCACTGAACAGTATATCAATCAGATCCAAGTGATGTCTGAGTACTGGTCTTGAAGCTGTTCAGTTTCATTGAGCAGTCTCAGCATCTATCGCTTCTCTACTCTCTCCATCATTTAAAAAGAACCACCTGAGGCTACAAAGCTGGCATAATTGTTTTCTTCATAATACATCGTCTCCGCTAATACTTTCAACTTTTTTCCCTTCTGGCGCTTAGAAATGCTACATCGATAAAGCGTCATGCAAAATTACTCATGTTCCGCTGCATCTGAGTGTAGATGTTTGGGGTGGATTATAAATTTTTTAGCCCCAGAATTACTTTAAGTGTATAATGAATTTCCAAGCCGATTAAGATGCAAATAGCCACATTAATAATTTGTCGAGTAATATCGCATTTCTCTATTCATCTAAATGATGTTTTCCGGTTAAGAGGGGCCGTATGAAAGAATTCTCCGTCATTCGCTTCCCCCATTCCTCTAGTTAATGAACTCATTAACATCAATAAACTACTTCTCGGTCCTATTCTAATGCAAGGACAGACTGTGTGTGTGTCTAAGTGTACTGTGACGCATAAGTGTCCTTGCTGAAGTCTGAATGTGTGTTGGGTCTTAGCTGAGCTTTCAGAGGGTTTGGTCTTGATTGAGAGGTATTAGTCACAGTAAACAAAGCTGTGCTTTTTTGAGAGCGACATGATATCCTAGACTGCAAATATTTGCTTTTCTTGTTTTCTTTGTCATTTCTGAGCAGTCCTGCAGATTATGTAGTAGCTGTGTGGTGTGATTGGGAAGGATAATTAAACACTCCATAACAACAACAATTGTTTTTGTGTATTTTAGTCAAAGTTTGTTGGCTCGGGAGAAAGTTATTATCCCTGGATTTGCCATTAATAGGTACATTTTTTTAGAAAAACAAACTTACTACTGATTTTAACGTGTTTTTAAATATGCAAATAGGAGTATCATTTAGAAATATCATTATATTAATAATATTATCACTTATGATTTAGAGCAGGGGTGCCTAAACGTTTTCTTATAAAGCAGGCCCATAACCAGGGTGACAAAGGTCAAGAATTTGTCCCATACATGAGCTTATTTGTCGTGTGATTTCAGCTAATCTGTATTGACCAATGCTAATAAATATTTTTCATGATTAGTCTTACATTTAGCTGTGCAAGAAAACACACAATCGGATGTAAGTGTCGTCATCTTTTGCTACTGACAAACTGTATTGTTTTTAAATAGAGAAAACATTTTACTTGTTAACTGTTTATCTGAATCCTGGACCATTTTCTTAAAACAAAAATACTAATTTGGTTATCCATATGTTACCCTTGAATATTCAAATTGACTTTTTAGGAGAGGGTAGAACAATAGTGAAGCGCTACATTATATTATTATTATTATTATCATTATTATTATTATTATTATTATTATTATTATTATTATTATTATTATCATTATCATTATTATTAATGTTTTCAGTTTTAATTATTCAAAGGGCCAAATTTGAGTGTGCTGGTCAGTTTGTTGTTTGAATATTCAATTACATTAGGCTACAATTTTTAATTTAAAACTTCAACAGATTCTTTTTTTTTTTTAATTATGATGTAATCAATTTGTATTTTAAAAATAAGTATTCATTCATAATTCTTTATTCTAAATCTTTAGGAAATATTTTGGTTCATCAAAACATGTGGTCATGATGACCACCCAACAAGCTAATCTAGTTTAAAGTAGTGCTTAAAATGTGACTAAATGCAGTACTTTACTAATAATTATTAATTAATTAAATAGAAAATGAGGCAAATAGCTCCAAAAAGATCCACTTTTTGAGAAAAAAAGAATCACTCCTTTCACCAGGCTGTCTGCCAGCCAAACTGGGCTAAAATGTAAATATAGTTGCCATGGGTAATTTCCTAATTGACTTTATAATATTTAAAAATAACTAGAAAACATTGTTTTATGTTAACTAATATAGTATAATTTTTTATATTTTACAATGAACTTATTACAGTAAAAACAATCTCATTTATAACAGAATAGAGGTACACTAGTTTTTGACTTGATTTATCACCAATGTCTTCTGCATAGTCCTTTATCCATTGAGTGACATTTTTTTACTGTACGTTTAAAAAACAAAAGGATTTATTTACAACATTTAATTGAAACATATTATTTAAGTTTGCTTTTTTGTAGCTCAACAATAAAACAAACAAAAAAAATGTTGCATCAAAATAGAAATGATGTTCTCTTTTAAAGGCATTTGCAGCTTCCCTCTCCATCCTGACCCAGCTCTTCTCAGATGGGATCGTGGGCCAAATCAAACCCAGCAGGCCCGCAACATCATTAAACGTTAATATCAAGTTAGATTTATGTCAGGTGACCAAAATTCAAGATCTAGCCAGCGTCTAAGGACAATGTTATTTTGATGTCCAATAATGACACCAAATTAAATTTGGTTGATTTTAGGTTGTGTAGGAAAGTGTCCAAAAACTAATGTCTGATAGATGTCTGATAGATGTCAGATAGCTAACGTTCACACAGCGTCAAGATGTAACATGATTAGACATTGATATTTGGTTGATTTTAGGTTGGACGTTGGACATTGACATCAGCCTGACGTTGGGTTATGACGTCAGCCCAATTTTCATTTCCAATCAAAATCCAACGTCCTCACGAAGTTGGGGTACGTTGGCGTACAACGTCAATATGACAACAAGTTGACGTCCTATGCCTGCAGGGAACGTTACAATGGGCTAACTTTGACTTGTGGGCCTTTCTTTGGCCATCACTGATTTACTTACTTACTTACTTACTCCCAGGGGCATTTATATCAAAGTTTATATTTGGCCGCACCATATTAGTGTTTCGTAACATCTAGTTTTGATGAGGTGGGTTGTTAGCCAAACGCTCAACCCCCAACATGGAAGACCAGGGCATACACACATACACTACAGACAATTTAGCTTACAGCACATGTCTTTGGACTTTGGGGAAAACCAGAGCACCCGGATAAAATCCACATGAAAAATTGGGAGACCATGCAAACTCCACACAGAAATGCAAACTGACCCAGCCGGGGCTCGAACGTTCTTGCTGTGAGGTGACAGCGCCACCCATTGCACCACTGTGTCATCACTCATTTAGAGTAACAAAAAGGAAAATTGGTCTGTATAAAAAAAAGATTACATGCTTTCAAACCTTAAATGCAACATATTTGAATTGCTCTATTTTCTCATTTCATATATATGTATATTTACACATGTTTATTTATTTAGTGTACTAGACAAGTGCAATCTGAGTTCATCATTAAAATATGAATAGAAATACTCACAGTGGGAAAAAAATAAAAGAATCCAATTTAATTTTTAGATGGTCTGAAATAGATATGCTCTGTTCATTGTAGCAGCTCATATTGTAGCTCATGTTATAAATTATTGATTAAAAGAGCACAATCTTCTAGTGTTTCCATTTTTTGCCAGAGGCGTTTACGTTGATAGATTGTAACATACGTGGGAGATGCTAAATCCAACAAGTTGTATAAATGAATTATGTCTTTTCTGGATACGTATAAATGAAACATTCTGCTCTGTGGAACTTAACACTACTGAACAATGGGCTAGTTTACAGATCTCAAAATAATCAGGGCTGATAGAGTTTCTTTCCATTACTTTTTGGCTATAAATAGAGAGAACCGCAACCCAGGGTTTTGGTGTCTCGCTCATGGCTCAAGGATCAAACCAGTGGCCTTCCAGTTGGCGCTTGGACATTGTGATTGGGCACTCAAGGATTGTGAATTGTTCCTCCACAGATGGCAGTCACAGTGAGATGTCCCAGCCCTCCATGACCATCCAGACATACCCATATGGAGGCTGTGAGTCGGTGGAGATGTCCTACCAGGCCGGCCAGTTTCAACCGGCCATCAGAGTGGCAGATTTGCTTCAGCACATCACCCAGATGAAGTGTGGCCAGGGTTACGGCTTTAAAGAGGAGTATGAGGTAAGAACCAACTTGAGCCATATTGAGCTTCAGTGATTGATGTCAAGAACCTTTCAAAAGGCTTTTTCTTCTTTCCTGAAGACAAAGGCAGATTTCAGCTGTGCCGTCTGTGCAAATGTAAAAGAGTTTTCCATTAAAAATGCACTTTTGTAGTTTTTAGGTACCAATCAAAACACATTAGGTTCTAATATGCACCTTCAAGGAACCAATATTGGCCCTCAGCATCAGAGGTACTCTAGTTTAGAGGCCAATCAGGAGACATTTAACGCACATAAAATGTGAAGAACCACAGATTTTACTTCTAAGACTTTTTTCATTGATAACTTCAGCAGTTTTTTTTATGTTAAATGTTTAAACGTAGTTTGTTACAAAGTCTGGCATGTCCTTGTTCTCTTTAAAACAATACTGAACGCTCTGTGTGGTTTTGTTTAGTTTTTCTTTTTTTTGCTTGTTTGTTTGTTTAAGTTTGTCAAGCTTACTGACCTTTTTGAGTTTAGCAATGTGTTGAAAAAAATATTGTCTTCGATAAACAGAAATTGGGAGGAAAAAATAGGGGGTTAATAATTCAAGGGGGCTAGTTCGGCTTAGTCCCTTTATTAATCTAGTGTCGCCACAGCGGAATGAACCGCCAACTTATCCAGCACGTTTTACGCAGCGGACACCCTTCCAGCCACAACCCATCTCTGGGAAACATCCATAAACACTCATTCACACTAATACACTATAAACAATTTAGCCAACCCAATTCACCTGTACCGCGTGTCTTTGGAGTGTGGGGAAACTCGGAGTACCTGGAGGAAACCCACATGAACGCAGGGAGAACACGCAAACTTCACATAGAAAGGCCAACCGACCCAGCCGAGGCTTGAACCAGCGACCTTCTTGCTGTGAGGTGACAGCACTACCTACTGCGCCACTGCATCACCAATATATATTCAAAAGGGGTTAATAATTCTGACTTCGACTATATATATATATATATATATATATATATATATATATATATATATATATATAGTTAAAGTCAAAATTATTAACCCCTTTTGAATTTTTTCTCCTTTTTAAAATATTTCCAAAAATGATTTTCCAAATGATGTGGGAACACATACCTGCCAACTTCAGTCGCAAACTGAAGATTGGGGTCCCTGGTCAGTACTACCAAGGTCGGCAATCCGGCGACTGTACTAACAAGGCATAGTTAAACAGAGCAAGGACATTTTCACAGTATGTCTGGCAATGTTTTCTCTTCTGCAGAAAGTCTTATTTGTTTTATTTTGGCTAGAATAAAAGCAGTTTTAAATTTTTTTAAACCATTTTGGGGTCAAAATTATTCTCCCCTTCAGCCTATATTTTTGTTTAATTGTTTACATAACAAACCATCATTATACCATAACTTGCCTAATCCCCCTAACCTGCCTAGTTACCCTATTTAACCTGGTTAAGCCTTTAAATGTCACTTTAAGCTGTATAGAAGTGTCTTGAAAAATATCTATTCAAATATTACTTACTGTCATCATGACAAAGATAAAATAAATCAGTTATTAGAAATGAGTTATTAAAACTATTATGTTTAGAAATGTGTTGAAAAAATATTAACTTCGTTTAACAGAAACTGGGGGAAAAAATAAACGGGGCTAATAATTCTGACTTAAACTATATATATATATATATATAAATATATATACATACATACATATATATATATATATATATATATATATATATATATATATATATATATATATATATAGATAGATAGATAGATAGATAGATAGATAGATAGATAGATAGATAGATAGATAGATAGATAGATAGATAGATAGATAGATAGATAGATAGATATAGTTTTATGAAATTGTATGTATGTATGTATGTATGTATGTATGTATGTATGTATGTATGTATGTATGTATGTATGTATGTATGTATGTATATAGTTTTATGAAATTATCTTGTAAATTTCTTTTATCTCGAAACCTCACTCTGTGCTTTAGCTCACAAATATGATTTGCTCACTTTTTTAATAGACTGAATTTGAAAGCGGTTTGTTAGATCAAGCCTCTCTACAGTAATTAGGACAGGCGTGCAGCTATGAAATTTGTTTTTGCCTCTTTATGCGCAGTAAGCCTGAAATATATTATTGTGAAAAGAATTTTATTAAGGGGGTTATTAAAATGTCAAACTTTGTCTTTCCTTTTTTTTTTTTTTTTGGAAAATCAGTCCATAATGAGTTCTTTTGTTAGTTTCCTGTGTCTTTTGTAATAGTTGTATTTCTTAAATATATTTGAAAAGCTAATTGAAGTGCCTCTGCGCTTATTAAAAGAAGCGGGTCTGTGTATCTTGATGACATGCTGGCATTTTATTCAGAAAAGGTCACGTGAGATAGGAAGTGCTTCTTGAGAAATCTGCCCACACAGTGGTCCACAAAAGATCAACCCCGTGACAATAAAACCAATTATCTTTCACTGTCTAAACATTTATGGTAAGAATATGCAAAGACCTTTGTGTCAATAGCATTTTCCACTACCGTTTGTAGAAAGGAGTTTGAAGGCTCTATCTCTGCAGGCTCTACACATGATCTGCTCACTTCCATAATGCAAATACACAATTCCTTTGCTTATTGAAGGTCACCAGCAGAGAAGATGCATATGGACAATTGTCTCCTTGTCATTTGAAAAGAATGACATGTTTGCGTGTGTGTGTTTATGTGTGTGATTGTTATTTTTCGTCATTATAAGTTATGGGTATTTCAACACTGCGACATGGTGGCTCAGTGGATACCACTGTTGCCTCACAGCAAGAAAGTCACTGGTTCGAGCCCTGGCTGGGCCAGTTGGCATTTCTGTGTGGAGTTCACATGTTCCCCCCGTTGCATGTCGTCAGGGTGCTCATGCTTCCCCTAGAGTCCAAAGATGATGAGCTGTTTCTGTGCAATGTTTGTATGTTTACAACCACCTCTGAAGATAGTGGGGGTCGAGAATCACTGGCACTGTAGTATACACTAGTTGTTTGTTTGTTTGTTTTTGTTTTTTTTGTGACCAGCAAACCAAAGAGATGTAAGACAGATAAGAAATGACATGGTTTTGCTTGCAAATCAGTGATGTCCAATTCTAAATGTTTCTTCTTCTAAAATTCATATTCACAAGTCCGTTATGGAATCTGTTCTGTACTAAGTTATTTTAAGTGTATTCTTTGCTCACTGATATACTGTAGAATTACTCTGAGGTTGGATATCAAAATAATAAAAACATTATTCAGCAGAAAACTTCATTTGAGTATGAGCATGAATCATATTTTGCGCATTATTGTGTGTTCAGACGTAGTTTTGATGGATGGCTCTGGCAGCGAGAGATATGAGTGAATTAAAGAGGGAGGGATGCTCTCCGTGTCCAAATTTTCAATCACCTGGATTGAGAGCATCTTTAAAAGGGCAAAGACTTGCATTTTTTAAAGAAGAGACTCTCATTTATAAAGAATGACTTACATTTATGTCTGTAATACATCTGATTTACTGTTCTGAGACGACGATCTCAGCATTCAGCGACGAACGGCGGTATTTCTCGTGAGGGTTATTTTAAATTAAGTGTGCTCTTGTTTGCTTGGGGTTATTTCTGCTAGTCGGAAGGAATTATTTTGTGACTTATTTAAGTGAAAGTTGTTTTTGCATTTAAATTTGCTAGTTGGCAAGAGGCGACAGTAAAATTACTCAAGTTTGGCTGGACTCTCTGTTCAGCCTCACGCTTTGTCAGCCCATGGTTCTCAGCACATGATCTACTAAGGTTGCTCTGATTTCATTTGAAAGTTTTTTTTTTCTTGTTTATTTTTAATTATTATTTTTTTTTAAATAAACTTTTATTTAGAAAATAGGAAATGTACAATGTAAATCAGGAAGTAATCTGTAAGGGACTAGAATACAAGTACATACAATTACAAAGTGATAAGAACAATAAGTAACAATTAAGAAAAAGAAAGAGGAAAAAAGATAACAAAATAAAGAAAGGGGAGGTACAAAATTAAATAAACACAAAAAGCATCGAAGACTAACTTACTGGAAGAATGATATTTTCATAAGATTCTATTAACTTTTTAAAACTTTGTTTGTAGTTCGATAAACGTATAGCTTTAAGCAAGGAACCAATTACATCTAAAAATGGGCGAATGAGGAAGAGGATTCAATAAATTTTTGTTTGTTGTTAAAGGATTTTGCATATAATAAGAAAATGTTATATATTCTTAATATTATTTTTGGGACTAGAATAATAACTTTAAACTTTTTATTTAAAAGGGTAATCTTTAACTATTTATCATAATGGTTTAATAATTTTACTTACAGTAACATTTGTTTAAAAGTTCTCCATGTATTTACAGCTGAGGAGACTGACTTGGACAATAGATTTACTTTATTCCAGCTTTTAAAACTTTTAAAACGTTTGTTAATTTTTTTTTTTTATTTTAAACAAAGTTTATGTTGGAAAAAAAAGTGTATGGATGCAAGTAGATCGTGCTTGTTTTTACACACTATTTAAAATATTGAGCTAATAAATAAAATCAAAAATATTTTTGTATTTTTTATTATTAATGTATCATTGTTTTTCCAGAGATGGGTTGTGGCTGGAAGGGCATCCGCTGCGTAAAAACTTGCTGGATAAGATGGTGGTTCATTCCGCTGTGGCGACCCCAGATTAATAAAGGGATTAAGCCGACAAGAAAATGAATGAATGAATGTATTATTGTATTACAAAATGTATTACATTGTTTAAAAAAAAATGTTGATAGGGCAAATCAAAATCTTTTCCATCTAGGCCATTTTAAAAAAATCCTTTATAGCTCTAAAATTTCATTCATAATGGTCTTAATGTCTTAAAGTCTTAAATTTAACTCTGTGAAACGTGCAGAAACCCTGTAATGGTAAATGTTTGAATAAACCATGTAAACACTGTTTTTCTAAATCTAAAGCTCTTTGCTCTTATACAATTCAATACAATTTTTACAGTAAGGGT